GAGAGGTTGAGGATCGGGATATCGAGAAGAGCTTGCCTTCTTCTACTACCTTCTCTGTAAATACTTTTACCAAATCAGTGTATAAAAATCAAAGACTGCTGAGTCTTGTCTTCGAATTTCTCCGCGAGAACTCAGTTCGGTCTGTCCGGGGAAACGGCGCCAACCCTGGAGGTGCTGTCTTTGTCAACACACTGGACGAGCCGACGGATGGCCTGATCGGGACTAAGATGAGCGTAGATGAGCTGTTACGCGTCTTTCAACCGGGTCCTGGCCAGCCATCTAGCCCCGAAATTCTAGACCCGAGTTTAGCCCTGCAATACGTCAGGCGCACTTTGGGAGAAAATCCTATGCCTTTGACGTCAGCAGCTTCTGTTATCAAGGCACCGACAAGCAGCGACCCTGTGAGCAGGGACTGGCCTAACGGGACCAGCGGGGAATTTGACGAAGGGGATGACGAAGGGGACGACGAAGAGGATGACGAAGAAGACGATGAAGAGGATGACGAAGAAGACGATGAAGAGGACTACTCAGGGAGTGACATGGAGTATTCCGATATCGAAGGGTTTAAGGAATGGGAGTTTGAAGAGAACCCCAGCGGGTATGTCCCTGGCGAAGAGCTCAGAGTCATGAAATTTTGGCGGAACCGTGTTGTCTATGGACGGCCAACCTGGAGAGACATAAAGGCTTATATGGATGGAGTGCGACTCTGATTCAGACTTCGATGGCGCGTTCTATAATAAAGAGGAACAAGAGTGGGAAATTCGATACAACCCGCGCCGGTTTAGGTAAGGAACACTGGGTGCGACAAAGTATTGGATGGGCTGTCTACGTGTAATATCAATTGTATATCTTGATGGGCTTGAATTTGAACCTGCAAGTTTGCAGCTTGTTCCCGATTATGCTCAACGTGAACAGGAAAGCGACTCTCATCGCCCATTTATCTTGCAGATTTCAATGTCCGCCTTGCAGCCTGCTCTTCGCTAAGGTCGCTTGAGTAGATTTCTTTTAACCAAGTATTCATCTGTGAATTGACCATCTTCGGTAGTCTCGGTTTTGATTTCCGACTTCTGGAGGTCATTACATCGCTTCTTGGCGAGAACCTTGCTCATAAAATGGCACAGTAATAGTAATTGCACGTGACGTCACGCGTCAAAGACGCGATGTGGTCCCGCCTTGCCCAGCCTCAGATTGCCGTTCCTTGTTCACAACTCCATAGACATTCAAGTTGTCGAGACCATACCCCAAATACGGAGACCTTGACACGGGGTACTGAGTGAGTCTATCCCGCGTTACGCTCTTTCAAAGGCAAAGAATATACATCCGCAGGCAACGCAGGCAACGTAGGTAACGTAGAATGCCTGGGAATGGCGCCATTCACGATTGATATGCGGAATGTTTCCGGGGCCATCAATAGGACCGAGATGGAAGAGACGAGCGATAACCCAAGCCAAGAGCTCACTGCAATTTACCGGCGGTTGATAGAGGTCGATCCGACCTTCAAAAAAATCATCAACCACAACCCAGAACTTAGCCTGGAGGACTGGAAAGCACGCAAGAAGGCAAATCCAAACGAGCTCGGCCCTTACTCGGACCTAATCGAGCAAGGATTTGCCCTTCGAGCACACGTTCACGGCATTCTCAACCCGACGGACAGCAGGCTTCTCAACTTGCCTTTCGAGCTCCTAGATCTGATCTGTTCTCACGTCGACGCCGTCTCGGCAACGGAAAACGATTTCACCTGGGCGCAGCCACACAAGAGGCGAAAAGTAGACATTGAAACTCTCCAGTCCCTTCGTCTGTCTTGCCGCCGTCTCTGCGAAGCAGCATCCCCTTACTTGGTTCCTACCATTACGGTCCACGTCACACGGAAATCCCTCGATCGTCTGAATGCAATTTCCCGGCATGCGACCATCGGACGAGGCGTGCGCTGCATCCGCATTCCCCTAGGCTTCTACGATGGACTCGCGGCATACGCACAAGAAAATTTCATTCTCTTGGCGAAGCACGAGCTCCGGAACTTGTTCCGTCGGGAACTCTCGCATGGGATGACGCGTCAGGACATGCTGTCTGACGGCGCAAAAGAGAATCTTCAGGCGATATTCGATCTTTTGGATCGGCTCACCGACGACGAGCCTTGGGATGAGGAGCTTTCAAATGCATTTCACGAAGGATTCATTGGTAAAGCATACGATAAATACGCGCGCCTTGAGGCCGAGCAAAAGCACCTTCACGACGATAGGTGGCACAGCTTCTCCGATCTTGTGTCATTTGCAATGAAGCGGATGCCGAGTGCGACGAGACTGGAGATGAGCGATTCGTTTGAACCGCAGTGGACTCCGCCTGAAGGAGACGCCCTCGTCAACGAAGACGAACTTTACCAGTACCTGATAACTCCTCACCGATGGGAGCACGCAGCCACAGCGGTTACTCAACTCGAAGATGACCTCATGAGCGCTCGACGGCCGTTCGGATTCATCCCAGGCGTTCTCGGAGCTACCGGGGTTTTCCTGACACGGTTTGCTGTGCGAGTCACCCCGATGCACTTCTGGGCTGCATTTGAGACGGTCGGGGATGAGCCGACAATAGATGAATACAATTGGGTTACTGAACAGCTCCGTTGCTTCGAATTCACGAGCAAATACTTGCTCAGCGAAGGCCCTTCCAGAAGACCCCAGGTCACCTGGTCGAAGTTTCACGATGCGGCTGGCTTTGAAGGTTGTGGGAAGCTTCTCAGTGTTCTTACCGCGACGGACAGTCTAGAGCGCATCTCGATCGACTTGGAGGAGTTCAGCCACGATGCAGACACAATCGAAATCGGACCACAAAAACCGTGGCATTTCAACTGGTTTGTCCAAACGCAACCATGGCCCAATCTCCAACGACTCACACTTTCGAATGTGCGTCTCAACTCTCACGACTTTGGCGTGCTTCTTGGCGATAGAGAGATAGAACTCAGTCTGAGCTCTGTTGAGATGGTTCAAGGTACGTGGGAGGAGACATTGGATATGTTGCGGCGCAAAGCCGACGCGAAGCAGCGGGGAGAGCAGGGTCTCGCGCCGCTTAGAATTATGGCTTTGACAAGTCTGTCTGGGGCCGAGTGCAAGGAGATGGGCGAAGATGAGTACCGCGTCTTGAGTCTTGCGGCTCAGAGCTACGTGTGGCATCTTCAAGAGAATAATCCTTTCCGATGGCGTCCAGAGGACTGATGTTCCGCCATGATTAGAGGTAGATCTGGGGAGGACAGTGCTGCAAGCAATTGAAGCTTTTTATGAATCCAAATAGAGACATAATTATTGGACTCCAGTCTCTCGAACCATAGCAAATCGCATCCCTAAGTCAGAATCAACTAAACGCGTCTCATTGCTGTGACTGAAAATGCAACCCCGCACTTTTCGATTGCCCCTCTACCCCGCCAGTTTTTACCCCTCCATAGTACTTGAACAGCGTGAATAGGAAAAGAGACAACATTGGAACCTTCAACCAATCTGGGTTTGTATACGTCAGATTCGATCAAGTACTCAGTATGGAGGACACAACGAAGCCTCATGTAGTTTCATCGGAGCCACTGGTGAGTTGCAATAAGTTAAAATGACGCGTTGATTCAACAAGCACGGCTAATGCGTCTGGTGATTGAACACGCAGGAGATTGGAGATGCTAAATGGATGACGTTGGTCAAGTCGGTTCCCCCTCAGATAATGATCTCATACGAAACTACACTGTAATGTTTAATAGACCTAACCGGACGTTTAGGATCAAGTACAGAGACGTGGATGGTAAAGACCGCCTCTGGGAAGGAGTTGAGAGAAAGACACGCGCAGCAGGCAGCTCAGTCGACGCGGTGCATATCGTTGCCGTGTTAAAGAAAGAAACTGGCCCAGAGCTTCTGCTTCAGCGACAGTTCCGCCCGGCTGTGGGCAAAATCTGTGTCGAACTTCCCGCTGGACTGCTGGACATAGGCGAAACCATCGAACAGTGCGCGATCCGCGAACTCGCAGAAGAGACAGGCTACGTCGGTACCATCAAGCCGGATTCGTATGTGAACAGCCCAAAGCTTTTCGGCGGTAAGTGACCAGTTCGCAAATTAATCTATGTTTTGGAGACTTCCGACGCTAATACTTCTCAAGCCCCTGGTTTCTCCAAGTGTGTCACGCTCAGTCCCTGTCTTGGCTGGCCTTCGAAAGTTGACTCTCCCTAGTTCGTGCTCTGTTATGGTCCATGTTGATATAGACATGCAAGCAGAGGAAAATCGCAACCCCAAGCCGAGCTTGGAAGAAGGAGAGTTCATCGAGTGTTTCTCACTGGCCTTGACCAGCCTTTACGTCGAATGTAGGAGGCTAGAGGCCGAAGGTTATGCTATCGATGGAAAGCTCGGGTCTTTGATAGAGGGCTTTCAAATGTCCCAGGTGTGGCGGACCTAACACCGAATGATTGGACCATGTGGCTTTCAGGGCTCTCTGTCAAATAACAAAGATGACCAGGGTTCTAAAGTCGTCTTGATGGAAATGGTCCCTCTGACATAATCACGCGAATCCTTAGTCACGGGGTGAGAACAGGTTTTCTTAGGGAAAGCCCGAACAAGTCTCTCGGCAATACGAAGGCTACCCAACGGATGAGTTAGTGATGATATTGGATCATGAGGGCGGTATTCACGATGTGCCGAACCATTTGGATCGAAAATCTGTCAAAGGTCTCCTGATACGAAGAGCCCTGTCCGGTTTACATGCTCGAAGGGGTTCACCGTGGTCACATCAGGATCATAATCGCGTAGACTCATAAATCATAGTTCAACCAAGTGCTACGCTCACAATTTGAGAGACGACTTAATGGGGACAACACAGGATGAAGAATTTTCAATGGATGAATGATTGTCAGGATGTGTGAGAGCCACCCCAAATTGGTATCATAACAAAAAGCAAATCAACTTCTACGTACACGCAACTGATCCCACAAACCAATCAGCTTCTACTCAAATCTCAAAAACAAAGAAAGCCAAAAAGGATCATTTCTTTTCCGTACTCGCCGTCGTCTCCGAGTCAACGTTTCCCGGGATCTTTCCCTCCAGCGTGCCCTCCGGCCCAGGCTGGAACTCCTCCTTGGCAACCGGGGGTCCGTGGAAGTTCTTTCTCGCGTAGGCAAAGTACCAGGTGACGGCAATGAAGGCGAAACCGGCAAACACGACGGAGGCGTAGTTCATGGTCGAGGCGTCGACGGGCAAGCTGACGGGCATGCAGAAGATGATGACGGCGAAGCAGATCCAGACGATGCAGATGCAGTTGATGGCGGTGCCGAACTTGCCGAGCGGGTAGGGCGAGTTAGCGACGGCGCGGCGGCGCTGGATGAGGTTGACGAGGACGGGCACGCCGTAGCTGGTGGACAGGCAGATGGTAGCAACACCGGTGAAGGAGTTGAAGGCGGCGCTGGAGCCAAAGTAGATGCAGCCAAGAATCATGTCGACACCCGTAGACAGACCGAGGGCCCAGAGGGGCATGTCGAGCTTGTGGTTGACGCGGCTCCAGAGCTTGTAGCCGGGGATGGCGCCGTCGCGGGCGAAGGCGTAGGTGCAGCGGGAGGCGGCGGTCAGAGCGCCGATGCCGGCAAACATGAGGATGCCGAGGATGAGGAAGAGGAGGCCGAAGCCACCGGCGGCGGAGCCGGTGACGGTCTTGAAGAGGAGACCGATGGGCTGGGAGTTTGCGACCTCGAGGAGCATGGTGACGTCGGGGAGGACGAAGAGAATGGGGATGAGGTAGATGACACCGGTGACGCCGGCGGCGGCGACGGAGAGGACGATGGCGCGGGGGACTTCGCGTTCGGGGTTCTGGACTTCCTCGCACATGGAGGCGACCATGCCGTAGCCGGTGAGGGTGTAGGCGGCTAGTAGAAGTGTCAATTGGGGTGTATTCGTGAGCATAGGGTCATGGCGAACATACCTTGGAGCAAACCGACGAAGAATGACCAGCCAGGAGCCCATCCACTGGCGGAAGCGTCGTAGTGGGTGAAGACAAACTCGGCAGATCTCTTGCTGGGGGCCATGACCAGGATAGTGATCATGATGATGAGAACGGAAGCACCAGTCCAGTAGATGCAGACCTGTAAAAACATTCGTCAGCATTCTTGTTCCGATGCTGATTTCTCATAGCATGTCAAACCCACCTTGTTGATCAGATCCAGGTACCGCGATCCAAACGCATTCACTCCAGCGCAAATCAACATGACAGCCCAGAAGCAGAGCACAGTTTGCCACGTATTGGCAACAAAGTCCTCGTTGAAAACACTAATCGCACTGAGAATCAACTGCGCACCGCTAAAGTTGATACTCAGGGTAACAGTCCAGTTGCCGACGAGGGTAAGCCATCCGTCCACGAAGCTGACGAGCGGCGCCCAGCCGGCGGGGGCGAGCATGGCGGACCAGTAGTACACGCCGCCGGCAGTCGGGTAGACGGCGCAGATCTCGGCGAGGGAGGCGGCGATGCAGAGGGAGATGATGGAGACGAGGACCCAGCCCCAGAGGACGGTGACGGCCTGGCCGTTGGTCAGGGTGATGTACATTGTGGTGCTGAGGCCGAAGGGGACGGCCATGATGGCGAAGGAGAGGCCGAGGATGGACATCATGGACAGGTTGCGCGGGAGCTCGGCCTTGTAGCCCAGCCTGGCGAGGGCCTGGTCGGCGGAGACGCGGGGAGGTGCTTCCATGTTTGCGGTCTCTAGTCGTTGGTGATTGTGAGGTTCTGAGTGTTGGTGGTTGAGGGTATCGTGTGGTGTCAGTCCACGGGTGGTAGACGACTCAATCGAATCGGTAGGACGTCGATTGGCGTATGTAGATGACTTAATGGCTTTGTTGGTCGTTGTAGAACCCCGGATTCGGACAGCCTCGCTCGGTGACGTTTCTCGCCGGGGGGAACGGGGTAGACGGACGAGTTTGCGGGGGAGGAGTCTGGAGATGCGGCAATTGAGGAGCAGGAGTATTAAATGAACGTAATGGAAATGTTGAAAATGCTGGCACAGACACACACGCACTCCACGAAGAAATGGTAGGGGACCGCGTCTTTTTGGCAGTGAAGAAAAAAGACCGCGTGCGTTACATGGGAACCGAGGTGTGTGGTAAGAAAAAGGGGACTAAGCCATTCTTTAGTAGCCCAGACTTTCTCTCTCCCAATTGTCTCCATCAGCTTGTTCGTACGGGACTAGAACTAAACCACGTTCAACACACGCAAGAAGAGTGGTCTCGGTCCAGGGTACAGACTAGACTAGTCTATCCGGCAGTCAAGCTTGAAGCAAGCCAGGCCCGGCCCAGTACCATCTACGGGGACGGGGCGAGTCACACACACATTCAAATGACACAGAAGCGCGGCTACGTCCAATGCGACAAGAAACGGACGGGAGGGCCTGGCTGCGGCCGGGGGGTGGCACTGGTAGGATAGAAGGGGGGAGGGAGACCCCGGCCTTGGGCATGGAGCTCTCTCGTTCAAGACGATGCGCTAATCTTTTGCTCCTCTTCTATTTGACAATTGCCAGGCTGTCAGTAGGAAGGCCGAGAGAAAGAGAGTCTGAAAGAGAGACGAACGAATTGTCCTCCTCGGGTCTCCTCTTTTCTTCCCCCACGCCCCGCAACGACCTGACGGAAGTGAGGAGAGAAAGTGGAAACTGGCCGAGATGCACAGCTCACGATCAGTGGATCTCTCAGCTTGCCCAAGCCTCTTGGGCTGAAGCCGAGTTGTCTGGGCTATTTGTGATGTTCAAATCCGTGAATACGTCAGGTCAATGGTTAAGCAACACTTGGAGTCTTCGACAACACCTGAACAGCTGGTTCCCAATCCGTCAATGGCATGAAATGATGCTTCACTCCAAATGATCGTCTTTATCTACGTACCCACCATCTAAAGTGGGAAACCCGATTGTGGCGCCTTGACAGACGGGGGCGGTTTTAGGTGCAGCCAGCCGGTAACGAGTCTCGAGGAGGGAGAACCTGGATCAGAGGACCACCCACCTCCGGGACCGCGATTATCTTTGGCAGGCTGGCAGCTTCGGGGGCGGCCTTTGATGATTGATTACGATGACAGGCCAGTTCAGGCGCCCCTGGGGCGTGGTAAGCGTGTGCGTGTCAAGCCACCACCACCACAACCACAAACCACCCAGAAGGGCACCACCACTTCGGGGCGCCGCTTGGTTCGTTGGTTCGTGCGTATCATGACGTTAACCCAGACAGCACCAGGACACACCCATTTCTGGTAGTCTCGCCTTGCCTGATGGCTGGGATGCTGAATCATGTTTAACCGCGGTGTGTAGACTCTGTGTATCAGTGACCTGGTCATCTCTATTTTCCTAGCGAGACTCTCTCTCTCGTTGACTTCATTTTGAGGATGAAGATAACCGAATGCTGTTTGCTCACGAAGGACCATCGTGACCAGATCTCGGGTAACTCGGAGAAGCATAGAGGGGGGTTAAACACTCCTCCTATCGGGACCGCGGTGTTGGCGTCCTCCAAAAGTGTCGAAACCCCATCGTCCACGTTCCAAGCAGTCCGTCTTTTCCCCAGGATTTGATCGGTTACAGGGAAACCACAGCCTACAGCGCGGTAAACCACAAGGCGAGAGAATGGTCACCTCGCCAAAAAGGCTTGTTTCTCCAGCTCGTGTAGCCCGTGATGTCATTGCCCACCCTATCATGCACCTTTCCCCCCCTCCTCCTTCTAGGCTTCTCCTGGGTAAGCCCATTGAAAGCGTTGGCTGCAATGGAACACTCGCTGCAACAGAACAAAAGGGTCGATCACTTTGGGGAAACGAGCTTGGCGGCACTCAATGGATGCTTGGGCTGAGGGAGCGCGCTGGAGATAGACGTGCTCACGTGGTGCAGCGTTGCTCATGCATTTCGCGTCCGCAGAAGAACGCCAGCAGTGAGGAGATGGAGGAGATGGTGTCGTGCCACTGACTATCTCGTCCTATCACGACCCTTACCGCGTTGGCTTTCGTCTCGTCGTCTCTTCAATACCCCCAAAATCTTATCAGCTTGTCGAACCATGCCTTCGAATCGACGCCTCCCCCGGCAATAGAACGATGCCCCTTCTGGACAACGCAGGTCGGGCAACCCGGGCACATGGTTTAGATTGCCGTGGCTCCAGTGTTCCAATGCCGTCCTACCAGACTCCTAGACTCCCAGACCAGTCCCGAAACGCAAGCTGCTGTCCATTTGATCCAAAGGAGCTCACCTCGACTTCCTCGCGATGTCTACGGAGTACACCGGCAATGCTCCTCAACGTGGAAGTCCAACCCCGCAAGATTGGGCTCGTCCACAGCCCACAAGGGCCCCTTCCCCCTCCCCGCTGACACATACAATTGCAGTGGAGAAACGGGTCCCGAATCCACACGTCTCAATGATAAGAGACGGCTCTTCTCGGAAGTGAGCTTCTCGGAAGCAGAATCTGGGTTTCGGAAGGGAGCGTGGCCTCGAATGAATACAGCAAACATCACGAAAACTTGGTGGTAATTGACATCGCAAGAGGTGAGCAGGAAACAAATCGTCAGAGGTGAGCTGACCAGCCAGCCTCTATACGTGCAATAACGGACTACTGCAGAATGCAGACTTGCACAGAAGAGCCCGCGGGTAGCTATCTCTGCATCCCGGAACGACCGTTCATTATGCGCCCCTGACCACACCCACCAAAGATAACGAAAGAGACCCAACGTGGACGCGTAGGGGTCAACCCGTGTCCCGGGCGAGTGAAGCCTTATCAGTGGACTCGCTCTTCCCCTTGCCATTGAATTTGATGGAGTGCGAACTGCGACGAGCATGGCAAATGGGAAGATTGGGAAAAAACACTCTTGAATTCGTTCGGCCCGATTCTGGTGTCGGATTCGAGTTAATCGATTCTTTAACGCCGATTGAAACTGTTCATCCCCTTTGAAGAGAGTACCTATTGCTCTGTCGTGCATTGAAGGCCCTTTCTCGAGTGTCTCTCTATTCAATAATTGATATCTTCATTCCATCCCTAACCACTCCCTACAATGAAGTGCCTTGGACCATTTAACCCCCCTTTTCAAACACATCGCAATGAAATAAATCACATCCAAGCTGGTTAATCCCAAAGTTCCAAACATGCCGGGCAAAAGCCGATGTCCCACACGTTCACATCACCAACGCTCAGCCCCCTGTTCCTATTCTTATCTCTCCTGCTCGCTCGAGTAATTATTTTCATAATTAGACAGCAAGCTGTCAGAAAAAAGACAGCCACCGGCACCTCCCGATGACTGACACGGTCCTAGCAAATGCCAAAAAAACACCAGGCTAAAAGGAATCTTGGAAGAATACAATTTACATCTTGACGCAATCCTACGCAATCCTTCGCTTCTCAGACCAAGGGCAATTTGGCGCTATCTGATCATCTCTCCATTCAGAATGATACTTTATTAGTGGTTGTCAAATACCAACAATGTCGATAGGACGCCATTGCGCACGAATGCGATCCTGCAATATTGTTCACCCAGAGCCGCCAGACACACTGAAGTGCTCATGACTCCCAAGGTCACACAACGTTCAGAATATTCATGCCGGCGCGCTGAGCCGGCGGTTGATTTCGACTACCTGCGTACCAAGCATTCCTGTCCCATCTTGGTACCAATCGTCAACTGTAATACCTCCAAACGGCGCCGTAAACCTCGTCAAACTTGTTCGTACCAGTGGCCGTGAAAGAGATATCCCCCCTTTTTGAGCGCTTCTAGGTCCTATGCAGGACCAATCCATCAAATCGTGTACCTCCTAAACGCCTTGCAAATCTTGACCAAACAACAAGAAAAAGAAATCCCATGCAACAGCGATACGACCGCCCCAATGCACCAGTCACGCCCGTCTACAACGCCTGAGGTCCCTTTCCCCATTTTAAGATAGGACCTCTTTTTCCGCCGCCTCGTCCACTAATTTCCTCTGTTTCAATATTTTGACCAGTTCTGTCATGGTCACTGGTCGTGTCAAGAATAAATCCATTCCGCTTGCGAAGCCCTCCTGTCGGGCGCCCGCCGATCCCAGACTCGTGATGGCAATAACCGTCACGGGTGGGAGGTTGTGTGCCCGTTCAAACTTCCTGATGCGCCTTGTAGCTTCAAGCCCGTCCATTACAGGCATCGTTATGTCTGTGCATTATTAGTGACCATTACTTCCTATCGTCCCCCGTATTGACTCATACCTATGAGAATACAGCAAAACCTCTGCGGGTTAGACGTGTAAGTCTGCAGGGCCTCAAGGCCGTTTGAAGCAGTGGCGTGTCGTTTTTGCAGCCTCTTCATATATGCCGATAGAATCTGCTACCATAAGCCTTTGAACGTACTAGCATCGTCCCCAATAGGTAGACAAACCTTGAGATTGATCGGATTATCGTCCACCAAAAGAAACTCTAGCGGTGACTTAACGGTTCCAGGAGACGGGCTGACGCTCGAGTTCATGTTGCCCCTAGCTGAAGCTGTCGAGGTAGCCGGCGCCGCTGCTGACGCAGCTGGGCGGAAGGGGAGCGTCAGAGTAAAGTTGGAATCACTGGTGTTGGCAATCCAGCTGTCTCCCGGTGACTGAGATACGATCTCGGTAGCTGGCGAGGCCACCCGTACCATTTTGACTGATTCGGATTGCGCTCGCGGTCTCGTCGACAGAGCATCCGACTTGAGTGCCCGTGGTGATGGAGCAGGCCCTGGGAAGGCATCCGACAGTGG